CCCCCCCCCGAGCCCCCATTTTGGCCGCCACACAGTGCAGTGTCCAATGGAAATAAGTCAAATTTTCAAACATATAAAATGGAAAAAGTGATGAGATATATGAAAAGAGGGGGGATTGGTGGTATCATTTTCAATGTTTGTTTACTGATTTGCATCAAATTGGCGTAAGGGGAGGTGATGAGATAAGCTCCGCGCGCGGTGACACCGGTCGCCGATGACGCGCTAGTGTTGTGATAGCAGTGATAAAGGCTGATTGACACCGTCCCAAATGTCCGGTTGGTGCTAATAATGGCTACACACACTCCCGGTAAGTTATTTAATTTAGATTATATCATAAAAATTATTTTTTCAACTTCTAAACATTACTTTTCAGCACGTTTTTCGATGGTACTCTAATTTTACATTCTTCCCTCTTACTTAAACTTTAAAGACGTTTTTAAGAAAAACCAAAAATAACCAATTTTCCTGACAAGTGGTAATGATTGCAAATTTCCTGTAGATTCTGAATTTTTAGGTCCCATCTGCGTCTGGCTGCGAATAATAAAGTTATATCGTTTTTTCTGTCTCAAGGTCTGCCTCTGAATAACTCTGCTCTATTTGACTTATATACGCAAACATCGAAGGAGGAGCGAGTTGCAGCGATTGAAGGGAAACTTCGAGCCTATTTCGTTAACCAACATGTCTCAGATGAAAACTGGGCAAAATTTGCCAAAACGAAGTGCCTACATTTTGATACGTTGTGGAAAAAACATTCTAGAAGCAAATGTAGGGTAAGAAAATACGAAGATCGTTTTTTATCAACAGCGATTTCGTTGCCGGACTACTGTCTTCCGCAGACTCCCCATTCTCAAAAATCAGGTATTGGAGCGCCTCAAAAAAATTTTTCAGACTGCTGTTACAAAACAAAAAAACTTAAAGTTGAGCCCCTCTTGGCTTATACCTCGGAGGAGTTGAATTTTGCTGCAAAAATTAAGTCACCCGAGGCTCCGGTTAATACCCGAAGGATGTCAATGTACGAAACTCTTGCTTTAACACTAGACCTAGACTTGTCGGAGCGAAAGTATGATGTGTTAAAAAATTATGTAAATAGAGTACATGCGGGTTTGATGCCCACCCTCTACAGTTTGAATAATTTTAAAAAACAGTTCTACCCTAAAATTATGTATGCATCGGACACTCAAGTCCAAGTAGACGCACAGGACATGTTAAATAAAACAATAAATAGTCTCTTCCTGATGTTAGAGGAGGAAATTTTGAAAAATTATTGTTCTTCTAGTGAATTTGTCGTTGTATTTAAATGGGGCATGGATGGTAGCTCTGGACATAGTACATATAAACTCCCATTTAGAGATGAAAGTAACATTGATCAAGAAACAGTCCAAAACACTGATCAAGAATCAGATCATGAGACTGACTCAGAAACTGACCAAGAAACTGGTCAGAACACTGAAAAAGATCCTATCTCACAAACAGATGAATTTTTATTTTTTATAGCGTTCCTCCCAATATTTGTCAAAGAAAAACAATCCGGTTCAATAGTTTGGCGAAATCCGCGACCATCCTCGCCCCACTATTGCAGACCATTAAAATTTATGTTCTGCAAGGAAAATAAAGACATCATCCTGCAGGAATATAAAAGATTTGATGATTTGTTTAAAAATGCTATTGAGAAATGTGATGTAAACATAAATAATAAGTTTGTAAATGTGGAATCCGAGTTCCATTTTACGATGATTGACGGCAAAGTATGTGACATCGTAAGTGGAACAAACTCTTGTTCGGTATGCGTTATTTGTAAGGCCAAACCTACCGCGATGAATAGTTTAGATGTGGAGAAATTTATTCCTAATAAAGAAAACTACAAATACGGTTTATCTACACTTCATTGTTGGATCCGTTTTTTAGAATGCTGCCTGAAAATAGCCTTTCGATTACCAGTAGAAGAATGGAAAGAGACCGAGCAATACAAGGCATTGAAAAAAACTAAAACGAAAGAGGACAAACGAGAAATTCAAATTATAGGGAAAAAATTAAAGGCTGATACTAAAAAACGAATCCAGCAAGAAATGAAGGTTTCATTAGGGCTAAATATATCAAAGCCGAAACAAGGTTTTGGGTCATCGAACGACGGCAACACAGCCCGGACTTTTTTTCAAAAACATGAAATAACTTCGAATATCACAGGTCTTGACCATCAATTGCTTGTGAATTTTCATGTGATACTGAGACTTTTGAATTGTAAGGAGGATCTCAATCTCGAAAAATTTGACGAACTGACTAAAGAGACCTTATCTTTATACATGGCAAAATATCAATGGTATAAACTTCCTCAAACCGTGCATAAAATTTTGATTCACGGTTCGGAGGTAATGCGTAATTTTGATTTTCCAGTCGCTTTTTTAGCCGAGGACGCCTTGGAGGCCACTCACAAAGACATCAGAAGTGAGCGTGATGGTCGTACTCGAAAAAGGAGCCGCGTAGAATCGAACATCGATTTAATGAATTGTCTGGCCCTAAAATCCGATCCTCATGTAACCAGTTTCCGATGTAGCGCATTAAAAAAAAAAAAAAAATAAGAACTCTCGTGATGATCTAACAAAATATTTACTTGTCCCGGAGGAAACCAATGTCTTGGAGGAAATTGTGACAATTTACGATAATGAAATCAGTTCCTAAAGTCAATTTTTTGTTTTCGATAAGATTTTATTTTCACCATTTACTATGTTTCATTTTTTCTGACCGAAGCTAGTCATTTCTTTTGTTTCCTTATATTGTTTGTAATTTGTTGTGTTTTTATGGGTTTTTTTGTTTTTTTCCTTCTTTTCTCTTCTTGTCCCTTGTGAGGTTTGATTTTGTTGTTAATTTTCTGTGATATTTTACTGTGATGAATTTTTATTTTTTGAAGTGCCTTTTCCTTTTTATTAAATATTTCTAATATGATCAAATCAAATTTTTCATCCATTTTCTCATGCTGATCCTCGGAAACCTCATTATTTCATTTTGTATATTTGAATTTCTCAGTGGTATTGACGCAGCATTGAAATCCGGAATTAAAGAGAGGATAAACCTCAGCCTTGTTAGGCCCAGGGTTAAAAAATAAAATATGCATAGTTAATATCTGTAAGTGTACAGTCGATTTTTGGAGCGAGCTTGCGTGAATCTATACATTTTAATCGTTGAATTATAGCTAAAAAAGCTGATTTTTCCAGGCGCTTTGGCAACACAGCATTTTAATGGAGGGGTCATGAGAGGGCCAGATACCCTCGTAAGCCTTATACGTTATGATTTCAGGTTGGTTTTTCCTCTTTTTTCCACAAAAATAATGCATTCAAGTCATTACACTAAGTGGGAAAATAACGACACATTTGGCAAAATTTGGCAACACTGTGTTCTATCATTTGGGGAAGTTTGGAGAACTTTGACTTCAACACAAGCAAGTACATGATAAATACTTAATACTGTCAAATTTTCATTGAATTCTATGCATTATTCGATCAGATATGAATTATTTCCTATCCGCCCATAAGGTCACTGCACTGTGCGCCATCTTGATTTTGGGGCGTTAGACGCAAAATTGAGCTTGACAACATCGAAATTCTTTTTTTACGCATCGAAATGAAGAGATTAAGATATTTTCCACACTTGCTTCACTTACCGTTCCACGGGAAGCTTTTTTTGAACATAAGAACCCGGACTAACAGGCATTCTTGGAGGCTCTAGATTTCGAAATAAGCGTTTGCCCTAAAAATGGCGGATGTCAGCGACTGCCATTGTTACGTATATGTCCTCATGGATGAAAAAATAAATATATCGATGATGATGAGCTCAATAGTTAACGCCCATGTAAATTACATGGATGTTATTGATTTTACCACATCATGATTGTAGCCATACACTGATTTACACAAAAACGATTACAATAAAAAACAAGAAGAAAAATTCGACAGGAATATGTTGGAAAAGCGTGCTGAATAACTGAAATGATGGACACATACCTACTATTTTCACGTCTTTGCTATTTGTATTAATTGGTACTTTTTGCTGAATTTGGGAGAAAATATTGATTCATGAACGTTTATTGTAAATTAATTTTAAAGATTCCGTCCAATTATCTTGATTTTAAGCTAATATGCGGCATTTACGCACGACCGCGATTTGGGCGAACTGCGGTGCATCGAAATCGCGTTGAGTTAATCTCTTTGGATTTCGAACTGTAACTTCTCTCCTATTCGGCCGATTTTTACAAATGAAGTTTCTTCTTATTTGTATTTTAACGGAGAGTAAGGAAATACTCGCTAAATGGATGGAAAACAATACAAAAATTGGTGGATCCTGGCGTCACAGTGTATGGTTAATTGGGCGTGAAAGATAAGGTTCGACGGCGAGGCGAGGGTCGCCGTCTTTTATTACCTCGCTCCAAACCAGACACCCAAAGCGATATCAGGAGATAATTGCAGTGGTTTAAGTGGATTCCTACGGGGGCCTTGGTTAGTACATGGTATATTGAGTCACGAGGCTCATCGCAGATTGCACTTACAGCGCAAGACGCTCATTGGCTAAAAAGTTTAGGCGGGGAAGAAGCTTCTTAAGTTGAGTCCTCCGAGCGTAGAAAAACTTGTATGAAGTTTCTGTCAAATGAAATGATACAGATTTGACAGGAAAATGTTCTCAAGGGTTTCCAATCAGCAGTTCGATCGGTTTATTGGTAAAAGACCATCAGGGCTTAACAGTGTAACGGTTCAAAGAGAAAAAAACGGGTCCGAGGAAAATATATTTGGATGGCCCATTGAATAGCATTGGTTGATCGGTGTGCTGTACTATAGTACATCCGAGTGATTTCAAAAGGCGAACCCTACTGGCACGCTTGATAATGGCTGAAAGATAAAAATCATCAAACCAGGATGTTGACTAAAATCTCTGGGTAAGCTGTCTACTAATAATAAACACTATGATTTCCTCTTCTAAAAATGTAAGTATCACATGCAGTAAGGAATTCCTACCTGGACACATGAGGAATCCAGGTCAATGGAATTGTATAGGACGGTTTGATTTTGGTTCCAGAAAGTATGTTGAAAATGCCAACTTCAATGTTGCCCTTTGTAAGCAATACTAATTGATACAACCTGTTATTCTGAGCCCAAAAAAGGACATCTTTGAGGCTGGAACAAAAATCAGGACTTTTCAGTCTCCCAAAGCCTCATTCAGCAGGGACCTTCACAGTTAAAATTTTCGAGAGACAAAGTTGAGAAAAGCATGGAGTTAAAAAAAGGAAAAAAGAGATGAGACAAAGAAATTACTACACACACCAACACGCACACCCTCTCTCACACACAGACACACGGACCCAAACCAAGAAATAATGATAAATTATAAGGGTTCATAAAAGAAGAGAAATACTTGTCATCTACTGCAGGGCGATTATTGAAATGATATCGACTCTATTTCGCCGCTTTGTCGTGTCCCGCAATCGACTGAGTGCCACTCAGTCGATAAATGGCCGATGGATTGCGCGGCACGACAAAGCGGCAACATAGAGTCGATGTCATTTCAATAATCGCCCCGCAGGACAGCACTTAAAGGGTCAAATAAATGGGTTGAATGTTAGAAAAATGTGACCGATTATAAAAGTCGGAAACTCCCAATAAATTTTGAGAGGAAACGATTTTAATTAAGAGTTTACTTATTATCTATGGATACTGTGGCATGCTTATAAATATATAAGTAGAAATTTGTGTTGGAGCGTACGCGAGGGTATGAGTGTGGGAGGGTGTTTGTGGGTGTTACATAGCAAGTTGAATAGATCTGCTGCGATTATTCGATGGAGCAAAACGAGGGCATGAGCAAAGTCTAAAATTCAATCTCTGATTCAAAATTTGGACATTTTTGAGCTTTCTGCTTTAAAAAATATAATACAGAACTGATAAAATTTGATTCGAAACAATTGCTCTGCTCTGATAACTCCAAGCAGGATCCAAAGTGACCACAATTTTGTGAGATTCTCTTTTGAATAACACAAACAATGAAGAAACATGAATACACATTATTGTGGAATATCTATGTTCTTTTCTGCTTCAAATTATTTAAGTGCGAAGAAGCATCTTGGTTGTTTGTAATTTTTAAAACCATATCACTTGATGACAGCCACTTTCGGTTTTGCATAGAGCCATTGTCTTGTGCATCAAAATGCATCTTGACCGTAGTATAATTCTGGACGCGAAAAATCCAAAATAGTAGAACTTTCTTGCACAATTGTGACTTTTGAGTGAATTCACACGAGAAACAATTATTTTAGCTCTAGCAAAGGTTTGCAACATGCCCAATAAGTAAATTCATTAACATTCCTACTTAAAAAATTCAAATACTGTGACTCATGCCAGAACACGATGCGACTCTTTGGTACGCCACAAAAAAAGTTGGAAAATTTTATCTCCTCGGGTTGCAATAAGTGATAGAACATATAAAAAAATTCGCGCAAAGTTTGAGCCCGATCCTATTATTTTTAAAATTCCTGCTAACGACTTTTTTTTACTAAAATCTTGATTTGTCTAGGATTGTGCGAATATTCGAAAATCTCAAATATTCGAGTTCGAACTCGAACTTAGAAACCTCGAATAATCGAATTATTCGACGACATTGAAAAAACTTCAAATCTGAATAAGAAAGACCGACTATTCGTCTGATATTCGAACACTCGGCCATCGTGATGACGTATTAGTAGAAACTCGATCTGGCGCGCAGTTCAAACTACTTGTTTTGAGGTTACGTAAACAAAGGCGTTTCATTGGTTCATCCAGCGCACGGCACTCTCACTAGACGGGTCAATTCAAAATTCACGCCACTTGAGTTCCACCTAATTCGTCATCAACAATCGGCGAATGTATTAACCTCCATTCCCTCAGTGGCGTGCGGTCCGGATAAGCAAGGCAAGCACTGCTTGCCCAAAGATTTCAAAAGAAAGAAGAAAATTACACCTGTTAGATGCATGTTTTACATTTTAGCAAATATATTTATAAAGCGTGTTCAGTATGTAAATTGCATTAAAAACAGAAAGAGAGAGACAGAAATACGTATAGTGCCACTAAAGTATAGGTAAGCACCAGAGCGGATGGAGGTGGCGCTGGCGCAGCGCGCTGCGCGGCCTGAACACGGGCCGACTCATGCGCTGGAGAATCGCTTGCGATCAGCTGAGCGGAGAGCCCCTGCTCGGCGGCGGAATCAAGGCGGGCGGGGCGGGTAGAGCGGTACGTTCCGAGTCCGAGCCCTTCGCTACGCGATCGCAGCTCGCTTCTCTTGGCCATCTCTTGGCCCGTCACCGCAGCGCAGCGCGCTGCTTCTGCCTCCGATGCGCTATCTCGCTCCCTCTTTCCGTCGCGGTTGTAATTGCTCCTACGGAGCAAATGCCCTTAAATTCTATAAAATTTCGCTCACTTGATCGAATTAGTGATGAATTAGAAAATTCTTGATCATGTTTTAAACGCAGAAAATTCTAATTTTCTAACTTATTTTTCCAATTTCTAATTTTAAACTCAAAAAATTCTAAATAATGTAGAATAAAGACTACAGTACCTCAAATAAGTGGCAAAATTAGGAGTTAAGAGCATGGAGCCGTCCTCTAATGCTCAATAAAATTCGAAACAAGTTGAGTGAACGAAATCATAAGTAAGAGAGAAAGTAATAAAACCACAGTTTTGTAAGACGTTCCATCAGATTTCATCCGAAAAATAGAGCAAATACCGTAAAATGTTAACAATTTTCTAGGGAGGCTCCCTGAGGAGGGGAAAGAGACTACGTTAACACACCCCCCCCCCCAATGGCGAACGCTAGAGCTTGCCCTGTCACTAAACCCACCGCAGGCCACTGCATTCCCTATCCTTCTCTGCCCCGCGCAGCACACCGGTCTTTACAATTTTGCTGGACTGTCTTTGTGAGATCAGCATTGATGTGAGGATTAACTGATTAAAATGAATTTTTGGATAGCAAGCAGCAGTTTTACAGTTCCGCGATGGTTCAATTAATTGCTCGTCTTTAATTGAAGGAAACAATTCTCTCCCTTCTTATCTTTCCCCAGCAAATCAAAATTTATGCGAAACCATTTGATAATTAGCTGAATTGATTAATCTTGATCTTTTTATCTATAATAGTAATTTCTTTATTCAAAATTTGAATGTTAGAAAGAAAATCATTATTGATTCGATTTTTACTTCGACCGATACAGAGGTTGGTTTTGGTCAAAAATAGGTGAAAACTAAAAATATTCCATTCGAATTCGAAACTTTTTCAAAATATTCCATTTGATTCGACATTAAAAAAACAATAATCGCACAACCCTAATTTTTACCATGCAATAAGCGTTTTTTTGTTAAATAGTGTCCTATTCTGAGGAAAAGAAGAAGAAAAAAGTGCATCGTAGCAAAAAATGCATCTTTGCAAAATTGAAGAGCGTCTGCTTATAGACAGTGCTATGTGCACACTGATTATGTGATTCCTTGAGAGATTCTAGACAAAATCGTGCAGTCCCATTTACTTTGAATCAGCTGATACAAAACCAACAAAGTACGATGACGGACGGATTGAGCCACACCTGCAATAAGCTCATCGACAGCCAGCCAACAAGTAAAAATGCTTGCATCCTAACATCTCAAAATTCTGGATGATTCCTGACAAATATGTCATCAAATACTTCATCATTGATGGCCATAGTACCAAATACTTTTCGACATTAAGGATTTTAGGGAATTCACGTTTAGGAAAACTGGAGACAGAAAACACGGACTAGTGTTTTGGGCCAAATTGTTTTTTTTCTTATATTTTTTCTTTGAAGGCCCTCTTTCAAGTAAAGCAGATTCTTCCTATCTTGTCGCTATGAGAAAAATATTGGGTTAAATGTTTGGAATTATTTTGATAAAGAAGAATTGGAGGAAAATCTGCTTTTAAGAGTGTAGCACTAGTAATTTTATCACCCCCCAAACCTATTTAAATGACCCAAAAGCTTTTTCTTGCGTATGCTGGCACACTTTTTTTTTACTTGGAAGTAGACTGTTCCATTAGATGAATTTAGTAAATCTGAAATATTTTTGAAAATTTGTCGAAAAATTAAACAGATTCTGAGGTACAATTTTACGCTCTTTAATTTTGCAAAGATGCATTTTTTTTTTTCAAAATAAAGCAATTTTTTTTATCATCGGGACAGTTATTCCATGGTTAAAATAGAAAATTCAAGATTCATGTAAAAAAAAAAGTTTAGAGAAAATCTAAAAATGGTATGATTGGGATGAAACTTTGCTGGAATTTTTTTTTAATTATTGGTATCTATTCGAAATAGGAGAGTTGAACTTTTCCAACACCTCTTTCCAGCCAAAAGACAGCGATTGTTAAATACACATTCCTACATTCTAAGTGTAGATCAATTTGGATATAACCTTCTACAGTAATAGAAGACACCCACTATTTAAGAGGTGAACTGACTTAGGGAAACTCACTTGGGAATGGCTGGGCGTGGAAGTGACCATTGGAAATCTAAGAAACCTGTGTTTGGCTGCCATCCTCTGATCAGAAAACTAGAAGTTCCAGTTACTGTTATTACAACTTTCTCCATGTGTAATAATTTGATATTTCCGAGTGGATCTTTTTCTAACACATGTCGCCATTTTATGTTTCCTAGAAGAAGATAAATTATTTAAAAGAAAAATGATGCCGCTTCAGTCCTCAAATTTAACAGGCCACCTTACATTTTTAGACTGATTTCAGTGTTGGGCAAAATTGATAAACTACCAACTGGAAAATAATACATTTTTACGTCGTTCCAATCTCTAAAAGAGGCTTGTAATGAAAAGCCAATCTTCACACTTCCAACATTCCCAGAATCCAAATTTTACTATTGTTGTTGCTGTATATGACAGTTTCGTTCTGGATCAGGGATTGGGAGTAGAGTTTGCGGGCGAACTCTAGGCAGGAGCGATCTCTTGTCAGAGAGTCTGGGTGCACATCCTCAATCCTCCGGTCCATCTTTCGCGTAGGTCCAACATCGGTCTCTTTCCCTCCAGCTCACTATTTAAGCCAGGCCGTAGTAGACTCAGCAGTTAGTGGCCACAGTATTGAGCGCCTTCCGTACGAAATCCTATCTTCAGGGGGAAGGGGGAAGAGGAGATTTCTCTTGGGAGAGAAACGAATTTCCGAGGGGTGGCGAAGGATACGTAGGGGCACAGAAACTTCTTCAGGGATGGAAAAACTTTTTTTTTGGGATGAAGAAGGATTTTCAGTGAGGCGTGGAAATTCTATGCTCAACTCTCCCGATAAATTTTCCTGTCCCTGATGGTGAATATATCGATTTTCTGGAGAAGCAATGAATAAAATACAAAATCCTTCCCCACACCATACGTTCGATATCGCGACTGCTCGGTGCAGAGAAGGATCTTGCCGCGGGAGAACTGCTTTCGATATTTGGATTGAGTGGCATGGAGAAACATTTCTGCAGTGGAGAACCATTTCAGCGGTGGAGAACCATTTTTGCGCGGCGAGGAGCCGATTCGGAAGCTTCTGTCTGCGATGACTGTTGAGCTCTCAACCCTTAGAAAGGAAAAATTACGCTGTTGCCATGTGCTATGTCATAACAGGACCGAGGACCCCTAAACTCTCATGAATCACATGAGCAGAACATGAATCTCTGTAAAACAATAATCGAAACGTGTAAACAAACCTCATAGAGAATGATTGATTACGTTGTGATTTTCCTGAGACAAGTGATAATGTCGTAATTATCTTCAGCCGAAAGATGTTCTCGCCTTCGAGGCACCTCTATCTATTTGAAAGTAAGTGAGAATCTTCTGCAAAGCTTCAATTTATCAGTGTCATTTACAGGTTATTTCGCAACAGAACTTTTTTGTAATAAAATAACTCCTTTGAAAAATTTGGCTACATCAATGAATCTACAAACAGATATCTTACACGTTTTGTTTATGATATTAATTGTATTAATTTATTGTATTAATCCTGTTCATGTGATTTATTGAGTTAGTATATAAATAAATCTTTCATTAAGTTAGCAAAATTATTTCCACAATAAAAAAAAAAAAAAAATATGAGCAATATGCCATGGGCAACTTCATTTGAAAGCACCCTTCTAAGTCAATTTATTATGAAAATACTGTGATTCTGGCAAATACCATGCTCCCAATTATGATTTGGGTTGATTCGCGATAACAATTTAGGTCTTACCTGAATTAAAATCAATAGATGCTAATACATTCTCTTTTGATGCGAGAAATAATTGCTTATTGCTTCCATGATCGACAATCCTTGCAAACTTTGGGGACCCAATAAGAGTCTTTTTCCTGAAAAATAAAAATTCACGATCAGAAGTTAAAATTCAGCTAAAACAAATTTAAGAAGTCAAAAGAAAGTTCTCTCCAGTTGATCACTGGGAGAACAAAAATCAGAGGGTGAATTGGGCCTTCAGATTTAGAGAATTGCATTCTGGGTACGATCAGATTCCTTAAAATTTTAGCAATTAGAGGAACTATTTTAAAAAATATCAAAATTGAAAACTGCAGATCACTTACACTCATTTTGAAATGTTCATGAAAAAAAGGCATTCCTCGAAATCTTACAATGAACTTCATTGTAAGATTTTTAATGAGGACAGATTCAAGGGTTCCTCCCATTAGTCCCATGAGGGAGGTGTCCAAGGTATAATGAAATGTTGTTTTTTGATCGATTGCCTGGTTACAATTTTTTAATTGGCGTTTTCCCCTGAAGTCAGACCTGGATCAAAGACCATGTAATGAGCATCAAGATCAAGAGGCCTATATCAAGCTGAATAATCAACTAGCTAAAAGAAACTCCTCGCTGGCTGACAACCAGTTGATAATGCAGCCCAAGTAAGGGTTTGCGATCTGGTTGGTGGTCATCTAATTGATATGACCAACAAATCACATAACTCCGGTTTATCTTGGTCTAGTCTTGTCCGCCAGACAAACACAAAAAATTAATTGGCCTTCTATCAAATTTTATCTGGAGGTGATAAAACTGCACTTGAATGAAACAACAAATTAAGGGAGAAAGCTTCGACTGGCTGCCACTAGTTGCTTGGAAATACATGTACATAATCGCAAGTGTAATAAGTTTTGTAAAATGTCTTTGGTTCGCTGATGACATAAAGTTTTATTCATGGATTAAATCACTAATAATATTCTTCTATAGGATCAGATATTGATAATGTTGCTGCCTGGTTGCATATCCAACGGTTTCTCTTTTGATTTAACCAAGTGTTTTTATATGAGGTTCTTAAAAAGAGGCTGCTTTGGTATCCAATATTCAATGTCACGCCATCAACTCCAATAATGCGCCGTTATTTAGAATCTTGGTGTGATGTTGGATTCAAAAATTTCCTTTGCTGAACATATTGATTGACCATGACCTATCACCTCTTCATTCTGCTCTAAATATATCAGAGTTAGATAAGTCATTTAGTTACATTGATACCTTATTCCTATTTAGACTATTTCATGGTCTGGTTAACTCACTTGAGCTTCTCTGTGAATACAATTTACTTACTTGTTCCCGCCAGACTAGAAATCGGGAGAAAGAGGCATTAAGTTCAATGTTAATACTAACAGTTCTGACAAGTTATTGGTTACCAGAGTGAGCAAGGTTGTAAATGCTATACCAATCGACTTACTTAACTGCAATGTCGATTTCCTCAGGCCAATCTTTACAATTATTTTCCTGGAATTGATGTCTAATCTAATGTATTGATATGAACTATATTTTACTTAATGTTTTACTGTCAGCATTTATCTCAACCTGATTTAACACCACCTTGTTTTTGGTTATTTTGTAAAATTTTTTAGCTAATGGGTGTTTATCACCCGTGGACACTGCAATGAATAAAAAGAACTGGCGTTCCGCCTCACTCCGCACCAGTCTTTCTTTTTTTGAGGGAAGTAGGGAGGGGGGGCTCTGACACCCCCCTCCCCTCCAAGCCACAATAAGACACGCGCGTCTTTTCAGTCGTTTCTCCTTTTTTAATGTGAACCAAACATCCAACACAGGAAGCAAAGTGTACTTTCTGAAGTGGGAGGTGAGATTTTGTCCAAAGACAGATCCCTTCCTCTGACCCTCTGTCCGACGAAAAAATTTATCCAAAAACTTCCTTTCCCTGATCCACAGTGCGACGAAATTTTTGTCCAAAACTTTTTCCCCCTGCCTGACCCACGGTGCGACGAACAGTTGGTCCAATCGTCCTTACTATTGCCCACTGCGCGACTGCCCTTCTTCCCGCTCACCATGAAAGTTCAAAGCTGAAACGGCTGGGCCGATTTCCCTCTAATTCATTAATACCAAACCAGTCCTTCCTAGGGGAGAACTACCACCCATGAAAATTTCAGCTCAAAATATTCATTTTAACTCGAGCTATTGAGTGGACAAGATTTGACCTACCCCCACTTTCGAGCCCCACCTCTCAAAATCTATTGCCTCAAATTTTAATATTATTTTGCAGAATAGTAGCTCTGATGAGGCTCTACAAAATGCATACAATTTTGTAAAAATATCTTGCAACATAAAAAAGATATAACTTCTCAAACATCGAGGAATCTTACTCTTTTTAAGGCGGAAATAAATACGTACGTACGTACGTACGAACCTAGGCAGATACGCACATACAGGATTATCCAAAAGTCCGGGACTCTCCTAATGACTATTGAACAAAAAATGCTACAGATTTGAAATGTGGGAATGTCCCTAGGTCAAAGGGACCTACTTTTTGGCGTACCCAACATTTCGGAGGACGCCTCCCCTAAAGGGGGCAGACCCTGACTTTTGTTTTCCGAATGGGAGCACCTCACTTGTACAGGGTGTTTCAGACCACCCGTACCAGGCCTTTTTCTCGGTTGGTATAGGTCGTACGAAGTCGGAGACCGCGGGGTTGAATAAGGAATTGACCCCAAGGAATCCGAATTTCGTGGTCCCGAAACCCCCCCACCCCCCCTTGGGGGATAAAGAGGGCGGTCACGATGCTAAAAGTCACGGTTCCCGACCGAATTGCGGATAGATCGCATCAGAATTGAAAAGCACGGAAAATTTCACGTGGAATTGACCCCTTAAAATCCAAAATCGGACCATCCAAGGCCCAAATTTGATCCCCTAAAGAGGGGGACAGTACCCCCCTCCATAATTTCTCTTTGGTCTCAAAATTGACGTAAATTCTCCAGAAAAAGACCGTTTCCCAGGTAATCGACCTCGAGAAATCCAAATTTCATGATCCCGAAGCTCCTCTAGCTCCCCTTGGGGGTTAAACGGGGGGGCCCAATTTTAAAAATCGGGGCTCCTTTCCGAATCGCAAATTGATTGCATCCAAATTGAAGAGCAGAACACATTTACATCTTAAGTGACTCCTAAGAGTTCTAATAGACCCCCTGAACGGCAGAAAGTAACTCCCTGAGGAGGGGGGCCTCGCCCCCGCCAAAAATTTCTCAGGATTCCTCTTTGGTCGCAAAATTGACGTCGATTCTCCAGAAAAAGACGGTTTCCTATGTAATCGACCCCGAGGAGCTCAGGGAACATGAAATTTAGAGTCCTCGGGGTCGATTACATAGGAAACCGTCTTTTTCTGGAGAATCGACGTCAATTTTGCGACCAAAGAGGAATCCTGAGAAATTTTGGGGGGGGGGCGAGGCCCCCTTCCTCAGGAGGTTACTTACTGCCGTTCAGGGGGGTCAATTAGAACTCTTAGGAGTCACTTAAGATGTAAATGTGTTCTGCTCTTCAATTTGGATGCAATCAATTTGCGATTCGGAAAGGAGCCCCGATTTTTAAAATTGGGCCCCCCCGTTTAACCCCCAAGGGGAGCTAGAGGAGCTTCGGGATCATGAAATTTGGATTTCTCGAGGTCGATTACCTGGGAAACCGTCTTTTTCTGGAGAATTTACGTCAATTTTGAGACCAAAGAGAAATTATGGAGGGGGGTACCGTCCCCCTCTTTAGGGGATCAAATTTGGGCCTTGGATGGTCCGATTTTGGATTTTAAGGGGTCAATTCCACGTGAAATTTTCCGTGCTTTTCAATTCTGATGCGATCTATCCGCAATTCGGTCAGGAACCGTGACTTTTAGCATCGTGACCCCCTCTTTACCCCCCAAGGGGAGATGGGGGGGTTTCGGGACCACGAAATTCGGATTCCTTGGGGTCAATTCCCTATTCAACCCCGCGGTCTCCGACTTCGTACGATCTATACCAACCGAGAAAAAGGCCTGGTACGGGTGGTCTGAAACACCCTGTATTACATCATTCAAAAGGCTTAGAAAAAGAAAATTTTTGGCGAACTGATTAACAATATCTCAATTTTTAACAAAATTGCCAAAAATGGCGGGTTATCCAAAAGTCCGGGACCCCCCTTATGACTCTTGAACAAAAAATGCTCGAGATTCTAAATTTGGAGAATGTTCCAAGATCAAAGGGAAATACTTTTTGGCGTACCAACAATTTCGGGGGGGGGGGGGGGGGGAGCGGCGGCCTCCCTAGGGGGAGGCGGACCCTAACTTTTTTTTAAAATGGGAACCCCTGTCTTGTGATAGATCATTCGAATTTCGAAAGGGCTTCATAAAAGAAAATTTTTGGCAAAAACCGATGGTCAATATCTCAACTTTTAACAAAGTGGCGGCCAAAAACTGGCGGAATATGCTTTTTTTGGCGATTTACCTACCGATGGTATCGTAAGGAGGTTGGTTTCAAGGGTTTTTCACTTTTCAGTCACGAGAAAAACAAATCCGATCTCGGATTTACAAACTACCAAAGCCTTTTCAAGATGGCGGCCAGAAATCGCCAAAAAACGCATTTTCCGCCATTTCGTTAGAAGTTGAGATATTGACGATCGGTTTTCGCCAATTTTTTTTTTTCATGAAGCCCTTTCGTATGATATATCATAAGATATAGGGGTTCCTATTGGAAAAATGCCGGGGTCCGCCCCCCCCCCCCCGAGATTATGGATAAGCCAAAAAGTAGTCCCTTCGACCTAGGAGCATTCTCCACATTTTGAATCTCTGGCATTTTTCGTTCATAAGTTATAAGGGAGGTCCTGAAATTTTGGATAACCCTGTCTGCTGTATTAAGGTTAAGAACGCTTAATTTTTTATTTTATTGCGAAACCGCTAGGCAAATTGATTTTTTGCAACGATACTGAGATGAGACCTGCGTATAATTTTATGTTTCTACAGAGCTGCTGGATACATTCCATAATTTTTTAATATTAACGGAAGTTTGCATACGAAATATTTTATGAATCACCACTAGTGACAGCAAACTGAACAAATGAAGATCTCGTATAGTTTCTTATGTATTAACTAACAAAACCGCTGGATGAATCGGGTATTTTTTAGTGTTCACAGAAACTTGTATAAAAAATGATTTATGAATCAACCCTAGTCAAATTGAACACCAAGCGCGCAACTATTTGTACTCCGGTGTGGTCATGTGATATCACGCAAAAATGAAGGAAATCCTTAGCTTTTCGTCCATCTCACATTACTGACATTTATGAATGCGGCAGTAATCATGGAGAAATGCATAATTAGTAATTTTTTGTTTTTTCAAGGCAGCTGGAAAAATCGCACATATGTAAATAAATAAACTAGAGAAAGAGTTAAGTGATTCGTCATGGGTTCTAGACATGATCAAACTGGCGTGCGATATATTTTATCACATATCTGTGTAAAAACTCTGAGCAGATTTGGACTTGGTAGTCACTAAAACGTTGAACCACATAGACCGTGCATCCTGTGTTACGGAAGGCGTGACAACTTTTAAAAATTCGCACGGCGCACTTAGCATCAATGTGTTCATGTGTCCCAATTGCACACAACTGCGCATGTGTGTAAGCAGCTCCAGTGAATTTTTGTTGGGTTGTGAGGCTTATTTTCTCGGTTAACAATTAGTTCGGAAAAATGAAACATTGCTATTCAGTTGTAAAATTATATGTTCTAAAACTTCTCTTCCAGATTTTGTCTGAAAATGGACTCAAAACGAGATATTCTCGAAAAACCGAGCGCGCAAATGAATTCTCAATTGCTTTTCTGCAGTCTCTTGGAGTGCTTGGGACACACACTCTCTCCCCTTCCCTGTCTGCCCATCATGGGGCTCCGAGATACAAGTCACGCTTCACGCGTACAAAACCAAGCCGGATGCACTGTCTACGTGATTCAATGTCTTTGGGTAGCGGAAATAAGAGAGACATCCCCTGCTCGAGAGGTTTGAGAATTATCCAAATAATGTACAAAATTAAAAGAAATGAAAGTAGGATTCATCTTAGGGAAAAATGTTGCACTCAATTTAGTAATCGGCCTCTGTATTGAATGCTACAATATTTTCCAAGAAAATCCTGCCTATGTTTCTCTGAATTTAGCAATAAATTTAGTTAAGGTGATTTGTCAGGCTCAAGTGACGTGGTCCAACTGGCATGCGATACATCGCATTTATTAGGTCAAAGATCACAGCAGATTTTGAAATTTTAGTAAAACATAGGACGATGGCCCCTGCGCATAAGCCAAAAGAATCATTCAAAATCCAAAAAACAGCAAAATTCAGAGAAATGAAAGCAGAATAAAGTTCGGAAAAAACCTAGCATTCAATACAGAAATCAATTGCTGAATCGAATGCGAGGTTGTTTTCCAATCACTTTGCTGCTTACATTTCTCTGAATTTTCCCAATTTTTGGGTTTAGAATGATTCTTTAGGCTCATACGCAGGGGCTATCGTCCTTCGTTTGGATAAAAATTCAAAATCTGCCGAGATTTTTGACCTAAAAGATGTGATACATCACATGCCAGTTTGACCACTTCTTTTGAGCTTGAAGAATCACATTAAGATTGTTGAACAGGATTGATTGTCCTTTCTACGGCTAGAAAGTAAAAATCGGCCGAAAGGAGGGGTATCGATAAGGGCCTTTTTTGGCCCCCTCCTAGAATCTGGAAATTTATGCGGGTTCTCTAAGTTGACTCAATGTAGTTTACGGAAATAATAATGATTTAGCCCACAGGCCTCTGGATACGTGTTAAATGGTTGCCTATACATAAGTCTGCAGGCGTATTTTAGCGAAAATTCGTGGTTTTCTATCACTCCGAGGCGTTTTTGACACCGAGCGCATCGTCTAACTAAAACCAGCTTTTGGTATGTTATTAAGGAGGCCTTAGGACACATTTTATCCATGGTTTGGTTTTAGTTAGATGATGCGATCATAGTTCAAAAAAACTTTTTCAAAAATCGTCGTTTAAGGGACATCCGCAAAAATATAGCAAACACTTCTCTTACCTGTATGCACGCTACGTATATTATCGAGGTCAGTTATCAAGCCTTGTTAAATCTTTACAAGGAGATTTACTTCAATTGTAGCCAAAAAAAAAAACCTAATGACGTAATTCTATATGATTTTTGCAGATGTCCCTTAAACGTCGATTTTTGAAAAAGTTTTTTTAACTATGATCGCATCATCTAACTAAAACCAAACCAGGGTCAAAATGTGTCCTAAAGCCTCCTTGATAACATATGAAAAGCTCGTTTAGTTGGATGATGCGCTCGGTGTCAAAAAAGCCTCGGAGTGATAGAAAACCACGGATTTTCGCTAAAATACGCCTGCAGACCTACGTTAAGGCAACCGTTTAACACGTATCCAATGGCCTATGGGCTAAATCATGATTATTTCCGTAAACTACAATGAGTCAACTTGGAAAACCCGCATAAATTTACGGATTTAAGTTGATGTTACGCTATTAGTGAAAATATGCCTCCACTACTCCAAAATCCGTTTTCTTCATAGCTGTTCGTATGGAAAATTCAATTTTTTTAGGACACAATTGAAGGAAATTTCCTTGTAAGAGTCTAACAAGGCTCGTGACTACCCTCGATAATATACTTAGCGTGCATACAGCTCGAGAGACGTGTTTCCTTAGGATTTTAGCGGATGTCCCTCAAACGTCGATTTTTTTAAAAGTTTTTTTTAACTATGAGGGCATCATCTAACTAAAACCAAACCATGGGTAAAATGTGTCCTAAGGCCTCCTGAATAACATATCAAAAGCTGGTTTTAGTTAGACGATGCGCTCTGTGTCAAAAACGCCTCGGAGTGATAGAAAACCACGAATTTTCGCTAAAATACGCCTGCAGACCTATGTATAGGCAACCATTTAACACGTATCCAGAGGCCTATGGGATAAATCATGATTATTTCCGTAAACTACATTGAGTCAACTTAGAGAACCCGCATAAATTTCCAGATTCTAGGAGGGGGCCAAAAAAGGCCCTTATCGATACCCCTCCTTTGTTACTTAATTGATGCAATACATTATACGCAAGTTTGACCACAAAATGAGCCTGGGGCGAATTACTGATGCATGCAACTATTAGTTATCCGTTAGTCCAAAAGATAAAAAACCAAATGGAACGCAGACTTTACCAGTCGAATTTGCTCACTTGATCTTCATAGAGACAATACACTTGCAACAACAGGCACGCAATTAAAGCAGATTTAAAAAGATCGATGCCGACAATCATTTCTCACGTTTTTCAAGACTGGCTCAAATCACCTTGCGTTCCTTGCTAGCTAATTATGTTTGTTTACTTAGAGTCACATAGAATAATAACATTGGAATGAATGAATGAAGCTATAAAACTTGAGTCGACAGAGTCGACTAGACTAAAGATAAAGAAACTAGAAACTTCAAACTAGAGCATGGACCAAGAGAATAAGTAAGGACCCCCAACTCTCAATTTAAACCTGTTTTAAAATCCGGCACCGCGCGACTGCAACGAACCTGGCAGAGGGTGCGATAGGTGCGGTGTCCTAGTGAATCTTCAGCTGTAGCTCCGAAAAAATCCACCACGTCGCGCTGCTGAAATCCGGCCATGGACCAAGAGAATAAATATATTATATAAATTATTATTATATAAATATTTATTATATATATTATATATTAGATATATTATATATTATATGTAAATATTTATTCTCTTGGTCCATGATCCGGCTCCGAAATCAGTAATTATTTAGAAATATCACGAAGGGCCGATTTTAACTCCCCGTGTCAAGACGGTGTCATAAGACTCATAATAAGGCCTGAATACACGATCAGCCTGAGCTTAAGTCTGGCGTAAGTATGTAGAGTCCCTTTATACCCAGAGTTAAGACAACTCGATTATCAGCTGACTGGCAGCCGGCCTATGGCTGGCCATGGAGGCCGAAACGAGTGCACCCTAACGAACGATATTGAGGGATAAGGATCAGGAATCCTGCGATGTCTGTCACACAAAAACAACAACATCAACAAATTGATCAGTTAAAAAGAAAATGAGATTGGTTTGTGAATAATTTCTTAATCTATTGGGACCGATGGAAATAACAATTTACTCCAGATTAGAGTACCTATATTGAGAGAGTATGGCCACTGGGCCCCATGGAGAGGCTTAGGACCCAAAAATGGCAGTGCTTTGTTTTGGTTTTTGTGGATGGGACTATGGGAGGAGGGTCATCGCCAACTTTTGACGGTTATCACCAACCGCACTTGCTGCCAACCTTACTACATCTAGGATAATTTTTCTCAAAATTTGCACACGATTAGTCTTAAAAATAAGTAAAGATGTCGCAATAGTGCATTTGAGTAAATTTCTCGTTACGATAAGCAAAGAAAACTACATTTTGAGTCATTTTGCATTACATTAATTTATGGCGTCCGCCATTTTTGGGTCCTAAGGGCTCCATTCAGCCTAAGATGGCTTAGCCAATCAGAGGTGGTAACCCCAGTGGCCAGACTCTCTCAATATAGGTACTCTACTCCAGATAAACCACAATTAGGTATAATATTTTCATTATTTTTGTTCACATTCGAGTCCATGAGCGAGAACCAATCAGAATTGGATTTTTTTTTAGGCCACTTTCAGCCCAACCAAAAATGAGTTGTCGTACCTCTGGGTATAAAGGGACTCTAGCAAAAATCAGCAAACAACAAAACTAGTAGAAGTTAGGTTAGAACTGGATCAGAATGGCGTAAGCAGTGTTGTTCAATGGCACGTAATAATAACAAAATTTACATGTTCTCATTACTTTTTATCGTACATTTGACAACATTGAGCAGATATCTGCACTGAACGTGTATCGGCTTGTAAAGCGTCCAGCCCACGTACAAACTGGGGCTCTCAAACTGGCACTAATTCTTCTATTTCTCAGCCATTTCTGCACGGAATGCCTTGAAAATTTCAAGATCTGATCTGTGATGTATCCCGAACACATCGGTTACCCTAAAATATCGTCGGCCCGACGATCTTTGAAAGGCAACAGTCAACAGTTCCATCGATGAGCCTCTTTGAGGCCCCTAATTTGTAGGTGGGCTGGACGCTTAATAATGCCGCAATCAGACGCTGAATTTAGCACCTGAATGTGGAAGTCAACAGTCATCGCCCAACGGCTGAAATTTAGCAAATTCGAGTTATTTTCATCCAGATGTGTATTAAATCTACTCGAATAGTTCAGACAAATTCAAAATTGGTCCGATGGTTGCTGAGAATCGTTGCTGAATTTTGCGCGTCACGCGCAAAATTCAGGCATCGGGCCGATGACTTCCACATTCAAGCCACATTCAGCTCCCACATTCAGCGTGTGATTGCGGTGTAAGTTGTCTCCAGTCTTCTCGTCTCAACGGTTAAGACACCAATCATCGAACTAACGCCAGACTTATGCTCAGGCTGATCGTGTATTCAGGCCTTTAAGTTCCAGCAGCATACGTCTGGAATGCTTATCGACGACGGTGTAAGTCGGCAATCACATAACTCGTTTGCGGTGTGCGGTGTCTAAAAATCTTCGCCTCTATGTTATTTTTTTAAAGGAGAACGAATTGCCATCATTCCTTGAAGTTTATGCAAAATTTTCTTCGCACAGAGAAGAAAAATCACGAAAGTTTTAAAGAATGGTCGTTGAGTAGTTTTCCATTTAAAAAATAACGTATGACAGGAAGTCTGCGACGTCGCAAACCGAGTTACGTGATTGCCGACTCACACCGCGTCGTTATGTGCTGGTTACACGCTCAAATTTCCATCAATTTCCGATCAAATGGTGACTGGTGCGTACTAGAGTACCTATACAGGGTGTTTCAGACCACCCGTACCAGGCCTTTTTCTCGGTTGGTATAGATCGTACGAAGTCGGAGACCGCGGGGTTGAATAGGGAATTGATCCCAAGGAATCCGAATTTCGTGGTCCCGAAACCCCCCCATCTCCCCTTGGGGGGTAAAGAGGGGGTCACGATGCTAAAAGTCACGGTTCCCGACCGAATTGCGGATAGATCGCATCAGAATTGAAAAGCACGGAAAATTTCACGTGGAATTGACCCCTTAAAATCCAAAATCGGACCATCCGAGGCCCAAAAATGACCCCCTAAAAAGGGGGATAGTACCCCCCTCCATAATTTCTCTTTGGTCTCAAAATTGACGTAGATTCTCCAGAAAAAGACAGTCTCGCGGGTAATCGGCCTCGAGAAATCCAAATTTCATGGTCCCGAAGTTCCTCTAGCCTCCCTGGGGGGGGGGGGGGGAAAA